TAATTATAAACTACTTAGCTACCATCCATTGAAGTATATACTCTATAAGTGAGTTGACTTTTTTAATTTTAAAGCAGAAAATGGGAACTATATCGATTTACAGTAAAACAATTTACCTTCTTTAAATATATATATAGTTAGCTGTATATAATCGCACATGGATCGAAGTATATGATTTACTTATAAGAGCAAGTATAGACATATAGCGAAATCTGTCAGGCTGCATGTTCAAAAATATTGACAACTAAGTCACTAAGATCTGATATTATATCCTAAATATATTAATGAACGTACGAAGTAGCATGAAGCATGATTAAAGCCGGATATAGAAGCATATTATAATATTACATTTATGTCGGTTTTTCCCGCAAGGTTCCCAATTTTTGAGAAGCAATAGAAAAATATTAGCCATAAGAGAGAACCAAGTCGCAAACATTTCGAATTCGAAGAAAATCTAATGCGACCAAGAAAAGAAAACCAGGCGATATCTTAGAGCATTTTAGGCGTCTGGTGTCCGACTCTTTCCTGATGACGATTTTGACGAACCAGTTCCTCTGGCGTCAATCAGTACCATTCGTCATCCTACTACCCCCAGTTCGACCGTAGAAGAGCGGGCTAAAGAGATGTTGAACAAGATTTTTAATTGCACGCTATGCCTTAACAAGACCATGTTACCGGCTGCTGCTTGCTCATCGTGCTTTTCTGTTGTTCGTTGTATTCTATGTGTAGAGGAGCAGTGGTACGAGGTAACGACATCTAACAACACCAAATGTACCCTACTCAGAACCTGTTGTGAAAACGTGTCAAATGTCTTGTTTGTCAGTAGAGTTGTTGTGTATTATATATATTCATATAATTATATTCATTTATATTAAAATATAATAAATTTGTAAACAGGCGAAATAATGCGCACAAACACATGCATACGCACGTCCAACCACGAGGAAGGAAACCGCTGTCCCACACGCTAACGCAAACGGATGGAAGAATGGGGGCAGTGTGGTTAGAGAGTTAACCGCGTTGCGGGGATAAAACATCCTGGGACGTGCATAAATTGCGCAAAGGAAGTTGAGGCGAAAAAAGAATAATATCCCCTATCTTTAGTATAAATATAAGTAGAATTGTAAACTTTAGGGAAGTTGAGTTGGATTGGCGATTGGTTATTAGTTGTATTGTGTGGTGTGTTGTAACCGCATCGTCGTGTTCAGAGCGAGTGTGTCCTTAAGCGTGTTGTCTTAAGAGTATTGTGTTATCGACGTGCACTACGTGTGTACTGAATATACCTGTGCTTAGAGTGTTAATAAACGTAAAAAACTACAGTCCCCAAGTTGTGGTATTCGTTGAATCTGGTGCCAGCAGCAGCGTAACTTGCACAGAGGCGAGCTTGCGCGACAGAACCAACAGAATGTACAATATCATACCTATCATTCGTGACTTTGCCTCACTTCTGGGTCAGACATTGCCCGAAGAGCCAAATCAAGTTAAACGTTCACAGCGACGACGATACTTTAGACACCATTCCTTTCGGGGACGATGAAACGCTAAGAGATATCGATGACTATATGTTATTCCATGTATTATATTGCATGTAGCGTATTATGTGTTAGAACTGATCATGCATGAGATAGATTTTATTGACATTCACACGTTGCAATGGAGAAAGGCAGCGCTAGATGCGCAATGCAATCGAAATGCTTGACTCGTAGTGTCAGGCTGGGAGATTGTGTTGCGGAATATGGCAAGCCAAAGTGGAAAAAAGTAGGTCGAGTATTGTATTCGATGGTCGAGTTGTGATAAGCGAGTACCGCATGTTTAGGGAGCCCCGACCAAGACCTGAACCACCTCATGGCACACTAAAAGTCATCAGCCAGATGAAGATCTTGAGAGTTTTTGAAAACCATCTGCAAAGCTTCGAGGGGAAGGGGAAGAAGAATTCAGATGCGCGAGATCATGTGAGTCGTGTGTGCCGCATTATATACGAAATCCAGCCAAACGCGGAGGACATATCGATAATGTGGCAAGACAAATCAATCGATCTCGTCCAAACGAATTTCTTCCTTGGCAATGACAAGCTAAAAAGCCAAGAAAACCTCAGACATTGAAAGCATACATTATCTCAATGAAATTGTTTTTTCAGTTTATGCTTGCGAGGGTAGAAACTGTGAAGCGCTTAAATGCAGTTGGAAAACCGTGAATTAGAGCTTATCAGAGCGGCATTGATGAGGCTAGAAGCCTGGGGCCCCAATTACAACGTCGCAGCTGCTCAACGGAGGATGGAGGTGCGACAAAAGGACCAGGAGGAAATTCTTTCTGCTGAGGACTTTAGACCGCATACATGCAATAGTCGAGAATACACATACGAAGTGATCGAGACAAATGAACTATAATCGAGCTTTATGAATAATATTCGAAAATATTAACTATAATGGAGAATTCCTTCGACGGGCGAGTTTTTATATACGATTTCGGTCAGCGGATACGATATATTTCTATAGTGTACTCGTGTTAAGATAACCTAAGCAAAACACACAATTCCATAAATGGCAGATCCACGTGAGACTGTTAATCGTCTTCTCGACCGCATAAGTGAGTTAGCAGACGTTATTTCGCCGCATGTTGAGGCAGAAACAAGACGCATATTTCGAAATGAAAACGTGCCATCTATGGCAAGCAATACTAGCAGTACGTCGGCGTTTGTTGTGCCGCAAATGGCGCAAAATGAGAATAGGCGACAAGCTGTGGTCGAGACATGCACTGCCCGAACCTACACGGACACATTGCTCAAGTTCAACTACAGCTACAACCTCGCGAACGCCTGCTATCAGTGGTATGAAAGTTGTTTGGCGAAAAGGCAGTTTGGCGGACAACGATCAACTTTTAGAACGCAACGCCAGCGGTTGTTTCAGCAGCAAGTGTTTCGTCGAGGCCAAGGCTCACAAGCACAAGACGGTTCATGCGCGACTTGGCGTTGTTGTCAGGTTCTGATGATACTATCGTGCAACATCAGGGAAATCGCCTAACCTTGATGGAGAAGAGCCACGTGATTTCAGGATGTTATTTCCCCAAGGCAATGAATGCAGTGCAAGTCCACCTTGCCAATATTGAAGCATTTGATGGAAAAATCCCTGATGGTGTTGACATGAATTGGTAATGTCAGTGCACACGTCCTTGGTTGTACCATCTTTGGCCCCTGGCCAACATGGCAGTGATGGTGCTATTTTGCAACGGCTATACCAAAACCAGACTTCTATGTCCGCCCTAGTAGGCAGTTAATACCTCAACCCAACGAAACTTCACAACAGGCAAGTAGCTAGCATATTCCTGCTGCTATTATTTTACTACAGGGAACCGTATTGTTAAGTTCGTATAATTTCGTATAATTATGTATTGTAAGGATCGATTATGTAATTATAAAAATGTAGTACAAATTGCATGCATAGGGATAGCATCGTAGCTATATATAGCACAGGAAACATGCATAGGGATAGTATCATAGCTATATAGCATAAGAAACATGCATAGGGATAGTATCATAGCTATATAGCATAAGAAACATGCATAGGGATAGTGTCATAGCTATATAGCGTAAGAAACATGCATAGGGATAGTATCGTAGCTATATAGCATACGAAACATGCATAGGGATAGTACCTTAGCTATATAGCATAAGAAACATGCATAGGGATAGTATCGTATATAGCTACAGTATATAGCATGGGAAACATGCATAGGGATAGTATCATAGCTATATAGCATAGGAAACATGCATAGGGATAGTATCATAGCTATATAGCATAAAAAACATGCATAGGGATAGTATCGTAGTAGCTACAGTACATAGCATGGGAAACATGCATAGGGATAGTACCATATCCTGATATTACTATAGTGCCACGTAAGGGAAGTCGCCTAACCTTGATGGAGAAGAGCCATGTGATTTCAGGATGCCATTTCACCAAGGCAATGAATGCAGTGCAAGTCCACCTTGCCAATATTGAAGCATTTGATGGAAAAATCCCTGATGGTGTTGACATTGAATTGGTAATGTCAGTGCACACATCATTGGTTGTACCATCCTTGGCCCCTGGCCAATATGGCAGTGATGGTGCTATGTTGCAACGGCTATACGAAAACAAGCCTTTTATGTCCGCCCGAATAGGCAGTTAAGACCTCAACCCAACGAAACTTCACAACAGGCAAGTAGCTAGCATATTACTGCTGCTATCATTTTACTACAGGGAACCATATTGTAAAGTTCGTATAATTATGTATTGTAAGGATCTATGTTGTAATTATAAAAGTGTAGTAGAAATTGCATGCATAGGGATATTATCATAGCTATATAGCATAGCCATAGGAAACATGCATAGGATAGTATCATAGCTGTATACAGCATAGAAAACATGCATATATAGGAATGGTATGTTGCAACGGCTATACCAAAACCAGACTTCTATGTCTGCCCGAGTAGGCAGTTAATACCTCAACCCAACGAAACTTCACAGGCAACAGGCAAGTAGCTAGCATATTCCTGCTGCTATCATTTTACATTTTACATTTATCATTAGGTTCGGTGCATGAAAAGAGCGACGTTTGACCAAGGCCTAAGCGGACGCGAATGTGGTTTGTAGCTATAGCGAAGCGTGAAACTACAGAAAAACATTCTATAGTGAAATGCATAATTGATTAATAAAGCAATAAAAGCATTCTGTTTTGTTATTATAAATATAGGTTAAAATCATTGTTGTAGTGTTGTGTGCATGAGATCGTGAGTTGCAGTATTAGACCGTCGTCTATTTCCGAAAAAGGCTCTAGAAATGGAGTTTCGTTGCACACCTCTTTAAACTAAAAAAAAACTACGTGTTTCTATAGAATAAAATACGCTGAATTCAAATCCGGAAAGTTCCCGTAGTTTACTGCTGCAGTTTCTTTGCAATTTATGATAAAAATCGTTAAATTTACAGGATTTCGCAATAATATTTCTGAAAAATGCATCACCCACAAGTCGTAATCGGAGATGGGTTATCTCCGAACGCACTGCTTCATTAACAAAATTTCACTTCCAGCACATTTTGAGATATGTGATATTATAGACAAATAAACAAGTTCATGGTTCAGTTCGATTCAGCTAACAGTATAAATGAAAACATAAATTTAAGGTAAACAAACAGTTGTATGATAATACATCTTTGCTCAGTATTAAAATGTTTCAGCACTTATGTGTGATATATCTGCTACGCTGTTGTAAAAACTAAACAATATACAGTGCATGTAATAGTACTTGTGCACATGAACTAGTACGCTGACTATACTCAGCTTACGATCAGTTTTGTTAAATTTTGTAAAATGTGTTTTACAGAGAATATTTATATTAGACAGGGCAAATAAACTCTCAAACTGCTGTAACATTTGCAGCTAGTAATACCTATTTTATTAATTTTATACAATTTATACCAGAATCTAATCATCATAATCATCGCCTTCTTCCCCATACTCATATTCTAGAAACTGTGCTTCAAGTTCACTCAGTTCCTCCGCTGATTCATAGTTTTCACAGCCATTACACTGGCACAATTCAGTGCATTTTAAACCAGATTTGTGGCAAGAGCATCTGTTTGTTGTGCACCCTTTCTTGCATTTGCAATCAACATATTCAAGGATGCTCTCTGGTGCAGGAGGTTGTGTTCCCCATACAATTTGCAACTCACCTTCTTCAAGTTTCCAACCATATCCCACTGGTGAGGGTGATGCCAAAATTGGAATTGTTGCATGCTTGCGGACATAGGACTCAAAGTTTGCTCTGAGGATATGTTGATGGAGGCTGTCGGAATTTGGTGGGAGTGACTCTTCTGTGCATTTACCAAATTTAAACATTGTATAGCGTGCATCATTAATCGATTTGGCTTTATCTTGCCCATAAAGATAGCAAACATATTTTTCTAAGATTTTACCAAGATTTTCAGGGATGTTCACGTCTTCACCAAGAGTAGCGAATGCCTCTGAAAATTCCACACTATTTCTTGCTACTTTAAATGCTCGTACTTTACCTTTTCCAAAGAAAGCACTTGTTGAGTCAGAGCCTAGAACAGTAAAAAGGGACAAAATGATAGTATGATCACATTTAAGCTGTTACCTCTCTGATGATACCCTTTCAAGAAACCTTTTCAAAAGTGCTATAATGTATGTTTACCTGTAAATATATGAAAGCCAATGATTGCTTTACACCACAGAGTACCAAAATAGGCAGCAACTTCGTTAATGTCAATTCGTCTTTGATTGTTTCCAGTTCCTGTATCAAATATCAGCTTTGCATCAATGGTTGGTTGACTGGCAATAGCAATCACAAACACATCAGTGTCTGGACTCTTAATAACAACAGTGTCAACTGACTCTGCTGCATGATGGGCATGAACAAACATTCTAGTATCAGCTTCTTCATGATCGCATTCTAATTCTGAAATCTCTTCAGCAACAACAACACCAGCATCGCCAGCTGAATGAATTTTAATGCATTTCTCCTGTTTGGTGACAAAAAATTCCACTGATCCCAACCTGGAAAGAGGAGCCTTTTTCCACTCCTCTACAAGAAAGTCAATTAGTCTCTCCTTATTGCTTCCCACATTCATGAATTTTTTCCACTGTCTTGGTATTCTCTGTTGCTCACTTAGTATTGAGAACACATTTGTACCAGACGCAGCTCTGCTTGTTCTTTCAACATTTTTTGTACTGATCTCAGGGTACCTGTCTGTAACAAAGTCCACACGTTGAGATTTGTTGAAAACAGCAATAGCAATTATCTTCTTCAGTAGTAATTCAGCCAGTTGCCCAAAATTTTCTGGGATGTCTTTGGTTTTCAACGCTTGCAGTAAGGCCATACCATCGATAATTGTGGCACTGTTTTGTGGAATCTGCTCAATCAATGGCTCTCCAGCCTCTTTCTCCAGAGTATGAAGCAGTTTAGACTTTGATGTCTTAACCAGACCACCGTAATCAGTTGCTAAGGCGCGCGGATATGCTCTCAGTGAGTATGTAAACACATTTTCAAGATCAATGTCTCGATTCTTTGCAATAACCAAAAGCCTTGCCCAAAAACGTGCATCATTTTTCACCGTAACCGTGGAACCAGAAGACGTTTTGACTTTTTTGGATTTTGACATGGATTTGAATGTTTTCAGTTTCATTGTTCCTATATTTGAAAAGATATCTGGTTCCTCACATAATAATCTATTGTGTAAGAAATCCTCAAGCTTTTGGTCTCCCTTATTGTATGCATTTTTCACATCAGCTGTCGTTACTTCATCTGCTACCACTCCGCTGCAAATGTTGACCAGTTCTTTGGGACTGTCAGGACTGAATGGGTTTGACATGGATGACACTGTTGATATAACTTGCTTAACAGATTCTTCATGATTACTGCTATGGGTGTTATCAAGATCTTTACGCATTCTTAAAGAAATTACGCATATTAATAAGTTTATTTAATCAAACTTTGTATGTGTACTTGCTATAAGGAACCCTCTGTACAATTGTAAGGAACCCTCTGTTCAATTGTTATAGTATAACATCAGGAGTATACCTTTGTTCTTCTGCAACTCCTGCCATTAATTCACACTTCCTTGTTATTGCAGACCTGTCAGCTTGGGCAAGAATCCACCTGTTTATAGCTGCTCTATTTTGTGTTAAGCCCACAATTCCACCTTTAGTTTTGGAATCTCTGTTGCATGTTTGCTCTATTGCTTGATCACAGGCAATTGCGGAAAATCCATAATTTTGCTGGCGTTGAACAGTCCACTTTGAACTTAATTCAGCAGATGCACCTTAAAAAATAGCAGGAGCAATTTTGTTTACTAAGTGCAATTGTGTTCTGTCCTATATAAAGTGAACAGAAGATATTTATTTTCATCACTTTACCTGGATGAGTGTCATCCAAACAGATCATCTCCAGCCAGTATGTAGACATGTATCTTGCATAATTTATGCGATCATATGCAAAATACCAAGGCAGCATTGCTCTAATTGTAGATAAGTGGAGCATCCAGTCTGAAGTGCGTGTTGCTCTGATAAATGTTAACAGCAGGTATACCATGTCGATATAGGATGACCATAACTGAAAAGTAGCACTCCTCTGACTCTCATTTTCGATGAACTGCTGAAATGTATAAATTAAATTGCTTGTAATGAGTTACTGGCTTTCCAGTAAGGGTGGGTACACATGTTGCTCATCTGATTTTCAAAACAAGTTATGTCACTACTTGAAAATGTTGAATTCAGAATTTTACATAGTCAGACTAAATACATGAACATATTTTTAAAAAAGATTTTAAACTTATCTTTCTCCAATCTCTTGTATTGTGACATTTTCTACATAAGCATCGAAATGTTCTTTATTCAAGTTGCCACTTATTTCTTTCACTAAGCCAATGATTTCAGACTTTTGAAGAGTTGTTTGACTGTCTAAAAAAGCTTCAAAACGAAGTCTTTCCATCGCTTCAAAAACCAACTTGTGGGCACGAATGCATCGGTTATAGTGCTTGCCACTAAACACACCATTTAAAGATCCTTGTGCAACAATTTCAGATTCAATAAATATATCCTTTAAAGGAGTGAAAAAGTATATTTCAGTTTTATTTTTAAACACACTGTATTCTCTGGAGCAAATTTCTTAACCACCACCCAAATTCCCAACCCTGTTTTTAAAGGTAATAAAATTATCATAATCACACACTAACCTGCAAGCCAGCATCACGAAAGCGACATGCTATTGCTGTAGCATATGACATGCATGAATGGAATTCTCCCAAACGGACAATGAACTTTGACATAAATTCCTCATATTTCCATCGTACCTGTTGTACCTTAGCATAAACTGCTTCGTCAAAAATCAGCACTGCATATTGAAGCTGTAACTGATTGGCAATGTCTAAACTTCTTTCTTAATATGCCAAAAATAGTTGCAAAGTCAGTAACTGGTGCATCTATAACAGGAAGATAACCAATTTTTGATACACTTGCAGGCTTTTCATTCATCAGTGTATTAAATCCTGTCCAACCAGGAAGTAGCACAGATAGGTCATCACAAAAGAATTTGCAAATAACATATATAAAGTCCAACATCAAACTTTGGTTTAGTATGGGCTTATAAGCAACCAAACTTGTGCTGATTTCATCTTCTTGTAAAAATTGCAATAACTTTGGTGATTCTCTCTTGCCTAAAACAAAAGTTTGCAGTGGTTCCTCAGGAGTCTTCAAAGATCGCACAGACTTTTTGATGGATTTAGGTCTAGGCCTTATGTTTGGTTCTTCATTGTCGTTTGTCTGCTGAATTATGATACCATTAGCCATGTGTGTAGTTCCAGCACCAGTTGGTGTCTCCTCAAGGAAATCAATATTATCCCAAACCATCATCGTGAATTTGCTTGGAATAATTCCTTCTGGTATGACCACTATGTTTCTTTTAGCTTGTAAAGCTAGAGCTGTATCAAATGACCGGATTGTTGGATGTGAAACTGAATTTCCAAATCCATTGAGAATTTTTGTGAGTTGATAAGATCCTGTAATCTGTCTAACTGCCATACCAAGAGCAAGGGATTTAGGTGTGTGCTTTCTACCATTTGAGCTTACATATAATGTCTTGTGCAATGGAAAGCATTTTCAAATAATCCTTCTCCTTGAGTTTCAAATGTTCATCCATAGTTGGTACAGATGAAAATCCAAGCAACCATGAAAGGAAAAGTGCCAATGAAGGAGGAACCATTGTTGCAGCATTCTTTGTGGTGAGCTCAGATGGTGTTGGTGGCCAGCTTTGATAGAAATTGGTGCAATCTTTTATTTGGCCTTGAAGTATCATCGCAGCATGAAAAAGTGTTCTGAGTTGCTCTTCATCTTCATTCTTCTTGGATGTGGTTGGCATATCAGTTGAAATTTCCTCCTGGCTGTCTTGACTATCTTCACTCTCATGGCTGTCATCTATGTTCATTTCTGCAATATCACCCTTGTTCAGACATTCACTGAAAACTAGTTCACTGATATTCTTTTTTCCAGGTGTATGAAAAGTCAGTTCAGGGTATGTTTTCTTTAGTCTTGCCTTTAACCGATGTGCTCTATAGTTTGAGGCATCCAATCCTTCTTTTGTATTAACAGCCTTGACAAAGCTTTCGCGTCGCGCATGAAAAGGATTTCTTTGTTTATTATCAGCCGTCTTTTGACAACCTCTTCACAGAAATACTCGTATGATTTCTCATAAACATTTCCTACTTTTTCATCAGTTTGCTTGTAATTTAAAAAATTTGTGTACCCAGCATAACATTTCTTGTGGTAGCATGCCTCAATTGCCACACAGTCTCGGTCCCTAATGTGGATTAAAATGGACTCATCTTTTTTTTTCTCTGCTGCTAGTCGTAATTTACCTGCATCAAATGTCTGGCTTTGAGTCAATTTTTGAATTGTTCTTTTCTTGGTTACCTGGAAAAGTTACAGAATGATGTTTTAACCCATTAAGTATTAGCGCTCTCTCTTTGACAATTAATTGACCAAAGTAGGATGCATTAGGGTGCAATGCCAATCAATTTGTTAACTAGACAAAAAGGCAGATAGCAGTTAACTGATTAAGTGCTAATGCTCACCCCTTGATGAGTAAAATAATCTGGAATTAGGTGGAGTATACTAAAGTAGGACACATCAGGGTGCAATCTACCATGGTTCATTTAGTGCACTCCTATGTTAATAAACATTTGTTTCACTAACCGGGCAAGTGTACGTCAGTTCTTCTTTCTTGCATATTAAACACACTCTTGGTAAGACATGGGTGGATTTAGATCCAGCTGCAGCAGCTCGTGAAAGTCTACCTCGTGTCGTTGTGTATTCTTCTGAGTCAACCTTGGTTTTTTTCGCCGCAGGTTCGCTGATTTTGCTTTTGCCTGGTAAAGCTTTGGCGGAACGCTGTGCTCTCTCAATTTTAGTCTTGTCTGTAAACCTTCGGTAACAGTCGATGTGATATTGCAAGCTACGCTGGGGAATTGTTTCATCGCTAGAGAATTTTTCTTCGTCGAGGTCTGTAAAGTACTCTAGAGAGTTTACTGCTACCTCATTTTGAGCGCCAGTTAACGTCAACCATTGTTTCCGGCAATGTATAAATTTCGAAAGCGACACAGCAGTAAATTGTCGCAAGAATTCATTTGAAATATCACCAAAATGAATAATACATGAGGCTGCATTTTCCTCCATACTTGATTATTTCTCATGCAATGGTTCATGCATTGTTTACAACCAAGACAATTCACATATGTCAAAATGTGCTGGAAGTGAAATTTTGTTAATGAAGCAGTGCGTTCGGAGATAACCTATCTCCGATTACGACTTGTGGGTGATGCATTTTTTGGGAATCTTATTGCGAAATCCTGTAGATTCAACGATTTTTATCATAAATTGCAAAGAAACTGCAGCAGTAAACTACGGGAACTTTCCGGATTTGAATTCAGCGTATTTTATTCTATAGAAACACGTAGTTTTTTTTTAGTTTAAAGAGGTGTGCAACGAAACTGACACTTTTTGCCCATTAGACGACGGCCTATATCGTGGTTAGACAGTACCATAGAGTTATTATGTCGTAAAGTGTTCAATTCTGAATAAATGTAAAATGATATACAGTCAAAGAGTGTGAGATCGTGGACCAGCGAAAATCTGACTTGTTTAAAGATTTTCAACATGTGTGAATGAAATTAAATTTTAAAGGCTTAAATGTACTTGGTGAGTTCCAGTATATTTTACCTGGTCAAAGAATTTATAACCATTAATTTGATTTTTTGCAATGTGTTGGCCAAGAAGCTGTTTTTTAACGCATTTTTACAAAAAATCCAGCATTTTTTAGAAAAAGGTATGTACCTGCACAAGGCAAGGTACAGAGAATATATCATTTCAACTGACATTGTGCTGCCTGTGTTTTGAGCTACTAGAGCTACTATATAGTAATAACAACAACTATGTACATCTGAAATGTCAACAGGACATCACAACACAAACTATTACACAAAACATATAAAATGGCAGGAAGGGAAAAATCATATCAGCCACAATTTAGCCAGGACCAAACTGATCACTGAAAGTAAGTGATTGTCATTTTGGATCTTGAATAAACAACTTGTTTACTCTTTTGAAAGAGTGGGAATGAAACAAGATCGGCAAGAAGGTTGCTCTACTTTTACAGAACAGGACGGACACAATCGTAACATTGCCCAATGAACTATCAGTAGAGAAGCAAAAATCGGTTACCTCGTTCTTGTTCAATCTTAGTTTGCACTTTTCCGCAACCACAACACTTTTACACTACCCATATCTGTTTCAAGACCTTTTATGCTCGACATCATATATTAGAGTGAAAGGACCAGGGTGCAATTGAAGCACATGTTCAGCATACTTCATAGGTTCTGTAGCTCTGAAAAAATAATATGCTTTTAGTAAACCTAAGAAGACCTAAGTAATCTTAAGGTTGAGGTGACTTAAACATGCTATGGTTTGCTACAGTTTTCATGGAGTACAAGAGAGCAACAATCAGGAAGCAGTGCTCAAGGGAGCTTCAACAACTGGCTAACAGCCTAGAAGTTTATGTCGAGATTCTTTTTGCATATTGTTGGCCGATGCTGAAAAGTATTTAAGCAGAAGATTCAACAGCAATGTTTTCATTATAGAGTTGTTTAAATAGAATGGTCTTCCACACTTACAATATATCAGTGCTATTTTGCTACAATTGAAATTTCTATTTGGTATTAGATGATACAAAGGATTTGACAAATTACATTGCACAAATAATCAGCTACTTCAGCTACATCCTTCAAAAAGTAGCCAAAATTATTACAAAAATAAAGCTACTGTATACCCAAAATTATACTGCATGCTATTGACAATGGAATGCTAATATTAATTGTATTGACCACAACTTTATTGTTGCATGGTACAATTATTCCAATTTTTTAGTGGTTATGACATACTTTTTTTATTGAAATTGTTGCCAATGCCAAGAGCAATGTTTACTCAAAGTTATTCACAGAATGCTGTTAGCACTAATCCAGTGAAGCTTAATTTCTGGTACACATATTTGCCAGAACATTAACTAAGCCTACAGTAACTAACTGACTTTCAATATTTAATCCATGGGAATGTATTTCACAAATTTCAAACTCCCTCTCCATGCAATGCTTAATCATAAGCATAATAATTGTTCACAATTACAATGGTTAGTGTTAAAAAAACTTATGTAGCATAATTTAAGAGAAGTCCTTCCCTCTCTTAGAAAAATTCTCGTGTGGCTCATAAAATGGAGAAAAATTATGGCAGGTTAAGGACTCAGACAACAATATAAAATCAGCTTTGTAAACAGTTTGGTCAATGCATGTCATCAAATGTGCTATGGCCAAATAAGTATACTTTTAGTTTTAGGACAGGTACAGTATAATCAATAAGCAATACTTTTCCCATCATTTTTCACTATATTTTAGCAATGATTAATACAGAAATATTACCAGAGACAAACGGGAACATATACCTGTAGTTTTGATTCATAACACTTGGGTATGATTCTTGGTTAAACACAATACCGATAGAACCATATTGGTATTTACAATGTATTCTGTAAGCTCTAAGGTCAATTAAGCAAAACCCTTTTACGTTCACGTGACATCGCAACAAATTTGATTTTTCCGCCATGACAGGAGGCAGGCACTAGTTAGGTAAACAAACATGGTGGACATTTTAGACTATGGGGAAGTTTTGTTGTGTTGTTGGTTGCAGTCAACGCTCTGAAAGGGATAAAAACACGAGATTTTTCAATGTCCCGAAAGTTATACACCACCAGGGTGAACAAACAAAGGATTTATCAAAACGTAGACGGGAAAAATGGTTGTCAAATATTAATCGTGCTTCGGTTACCAGTGGGGACGTCAAAAATCCAATGGTTTGCTCACTTCATTTCCACAAAGGTAAGAATTCAAATTCCTTTTTTCAGCAACGTTATTAGCTCTATTATAATTGCTTCCTCGTTTTTAAATAGGGCAACCGGCCGGTGTATACGATAAAATGCATCCTGACTGGGCACCTACTGTTGCGATGGGTCAAGGACATTCATCTACAACACACAGCATAAATGATTGTTGCTTGGGAAGGTTTAATCGCTGTATCGAAAGAACTAAGAGAAAATGCATGGATAACACAACATCTACAGATAACATAACACAGCGAGGCAATGATGGAATGGCTATTATTCCACCTGGAGAACAATCTGAAAACTTGGAACGACATATTGATCCAGCTAAGAACAGCGACGAAGACCAAGAGGATGCGAGCATACCTGCTTCCAAATCAGTTGCAAGGGAAATACAGACTGATATGACCATAGTTGACATTGATCTACTTACATACAGACCTACCCAGAATTTAAGCCAAGAGAATTTTGCAAGTGAAGCTTTTTTCCAAGTTGCGAAACTCCTTTACTAAATTTCAACAGTTTTTGCTCACTCTAATGCGACTTCGTTTGGATTTATCTGTTCAAGAACTTGCATATAGATTTGGAGTACATGCTTCAACAGTGTCAAGAGTTTTTCACAGTTGCATCAATGTTATGTACTCTAGTATGAACTTTTTGATTTATTGGCCAACAAGGCAGGAACTAAATCTGACACTACCTATGTGTTTTAGAGAAAAATTCTCATCTTGCTGCGTGATACTCGACTGTTTTGAAGTATTTATTGATCGACCTTCTGATTTACTAGTCCGAGCACAAACATGGTCGTCATACAAAAGTCATAATACAGCTAAATTCTTAATTGGAGTGACACCTCAGGGTACAGTGTCATTCATATCTAGTGCATGGGGTGGTAGGGTGTCAGATAAATTTATTACTGAACATTGTGGTTTGTTGCAAAAGTTATTACCTGGTGACATGGTTCTCGCTGATCGAGGCTTTGATATTGAGGACAGTTGTGGTCTTTACTGTGCAACATTGAGAATTCCCAGTTTCACTAAAGGTAAACCTCAGTTGTCACCTGTAGAGGTTGAAGTTACAAGATCCATAGCAAATGTCAGAATACACGTGGAACGGGTGATAGGCTGTGTACGTCAAAAGTACACCATCCTTGGGCATGGAATAATTCCAATTGACTATCTGAAATCTGACAATGGAGAACCATGCTTGCTTGATAAGATAGCCCTAGTATCATGTGCTCTTGTTAATTGTTGCAAGTCTGTTGTTTCAGTTGAGTAGCTAGTAAAGTAAACATAGGTGAACAGGTATATAAATTTTGGGGGGTGGACATCAGTCTGCCAACCCCCAGCTCCCCCCCTGTATGCCTATGAAAGTAAGACCTGTTGTACACACTGGAAAGTTTAATAATTTTCACATGTACTAGCTTCCTCTCAGGCTCATGTACAGTAGATCAAATATTTGGAAGTCAAATTTGTGTGTACTATTTGCATGACTTTATGTTGTTGTTTTTACTATGTTGCCACAAGGTTTTCTCAAGAATGTAGATAACTTATAAAATGGGTCATTACATAATACTTCTAATAAACTCTGGGGTATGTTAACAAACAGAAAACAAGAATTAGCATTAAACAAGCATTTAATTATAGATTTTGTTTTACAAATCTACTCCTCAGGAGATGCTAAATCTGACATCTTCTTTCGTTTACAATCAGGACATAACCAGATCTTACTTCTAGGTTTCCTAGACAACCCACAGCATTTCATATGAAACTTGCGAAAAACACAAGTTGAACTTTTACATTCTAAGTCAAGCGATTCAGTGAGCTCAATCCTACAGTAACAATACAAGTTTTGTCCAGAAGGAATAACATAACATCTGGCCTAGTGAACCATTTTCCTAGAAGCTCTGGCAGAATGGCAGTGATGTATAATTCCTTGGCTTTAGCCAAATTTTCTGTCAGAAATGACACATCCGATTGCACCCTTTCAATGTAAATTTCTGAGGGGTTTCAAACAACAAAGTCAGCAAAATTTAACTTCGTAGCAGCAAGCTGAAGTTGAACTTGGTAAAAGTATGGATGCTTCTTGTCAAGTTTAAGTCCATTTGCAGCATTTTTTATAAGGCAAAACTTCTCACCATTTTCAACTGCTGTAGTAAGGGATGACTTTTTCAAGCAGTAAGGGCATTTCACTTCCACACACCCTGCACCATGGCAACTGCAACAGGAAATACGATCTGGACTTGCCCCAAGATGCGGAAAATCAATATTGATTACAAAACCAGACTCCTTGAGGGTGAAATCTTTATGTTGCTGTTCCATAATCTGTAAATAAATAAAAAACAAATGTTTCTAATGCACCTATCAATGTTTAGCCCCAGGGTCAAGGGGGCAGCCAACCCCCAGGGAATTTGACATTTTCGAATTGTCTTTTGCCAATTTAATAATTAACCTACCCTGGTGTTTTGAATTTTTGCCAAATTTCCCCTCCCCCAGCACAAAATAGACAAATTTTAATACAAAAAATAATATTTTAATGCGAAAATTCAAAATACCAGGGTGGGGAAATTGGCAGAAGACAAAACCAAAAATGTCAAATTCCAGTGGTTGCCTGAAAACATTAATAGGTGCATAAAATGGCAAACACAACAACAATCACCAACTATGTATAAGGATGTACAACAATTACCTGCTTGTATTGGCCCACTGCTTCATTTTCATGTGTGCATCCCCATGTGGTTGCCTTTGATGTAAAACTTAAGCCATAACATACTTCCTTAACGAGACTTAAAGATGGTGATGCTGGGTCAGTATGACAAGCCTGGTGGAATTTGCTGGCAGTTATTCTTCCAGCTCTCATTTGAAACCATAAAGATGATTTGCTTTGGCTTTTTGTAACCTCTTCAATTAATTTTGCCTGTTGAAAGCTAATGTTCATCTTTTGAAAAATGTCAATTGATTTGGCTAGCAATTCTTGGTATCCCATGGAGTTGAATTCTGCTGAATACAGTTGGGTTAATGGCTCTGGAAGTGAAGACACATCATTTTTTGGTAGAAAATTCTTGTTGTAAGGAGATGTAAGGGATAAGATTGCTGCATTGCTTTCACATTTGTAAAGTTGGTCAAAAAATGATTGGATCTGGCAAAGGGATGGAACATATTTGGCAGAGCTTGTGTCACTTGTACTAGAATTTACTACAGTTGATTTGTCTACTGTCAATTTATCCTGTCCAAACTCTGAGATTTCATTTATTTTTGCATCCAATTTCTTTTTCTTGGATTTTGATGATGTAAAATCCATATTTCTAAGTTCTTGATAGGGTACACTTGTTACTGGTGTTGGCATAAGCCATTTGCAGGGAAGGGAGGTACACGTTTTTGCTTTAGTAATGCGAGCACCTGCTTCAACAGCAAATAGTAAAGCCCCAACATGTGAGCATGTATCACCAAAGCCAGCAACACAATTACAATGGGCAGTTATTATATTGCCATCATCTTCTGCAGCTACCCAGGTCTTTAATGGAGTTTCATTCAAGCGTTGAGAATGGTTCACCTTAGGTTAAGAAAAAAAACATAAACAAAACTAAAAAGGCAATACTGGCCAATACATGACATGCACTGAAAGACATGGAGTTGTAACACAACATTTAAAAACAATACAAAAACAGAATTCAAAATACTAACCTTTCCAAGCAAAACCTTTATATTACCATAGGTAGCCCAACACTCGTGGTCCGCGCGCGTACACGCTACTCAGTGATTAGCATATATTAAGGTTGGCAACTTTATCAACAATTATCAATAATATATCACATACATACATGTCAAACTTCGATAAAAACTGAAAAACTACCACAAAATACTGCAAAATTAATAAATATAAATGAACTTGGATATATTTTCTAAATTCCGACATAGTTTTTAGCTTCAAAATGTATTGGGAAATACGGAAATTTGTTCATTTAAAATAAAGTTTTTGAAAATATATTGTCGAAATTTTCTTGTCGATAGGCGGGATCCAATTTACTCTACATTACGTCACCTTCGAAGTCAATCGGAGAAATCCCGAGTCAATCCTATTGGCTGCTGAAAAGTCGGAAAATTTCCGAAGATTGCTCCATGAGAGAACAGCACTGAGCTATATAATAATTCCTGGAGGACCGGCTCCTAATGTTTTTTTCTCAAAAAGTGAAGCAAAAAACATGGCGGACTTCGCCCTTCTGCGCAACCGCAGAAGCTCTGCTGACGCCACTTGGTTCCTTTTGGCCATGGTATTTACCACTGACCAGGCTCAATAATGAGCCCGCTACAGCAGTATTCTCCCCCCTGGTTTTTGTAAATAACAATTCTCCCCCCTGGTTTTTATATTTTTTTGCCGTGAAATCTTGTTTGTTTTTGAAATATTTTTTGGTTGTTTTTTTGATATTTTTCGCACTGACATCTAATAAAGTTTTATTTTAAGATGAATACAAGTCATACACGCTGTTTTTGCCAGTGCGGGAACGAATATATATTAAAATATCGAAAAATGTGGACAAACTAAAGATTTTAATACTGACACAAACTGACAGGTTTATTATTTTATTAGTCTTAATAATATTTTTGTTATTTATACATTCCAATATGAAAGTTTACAAATGTTTGAATGTTTTGGCACTATCCTCGCATATTTTGAAGACAACTAGGAATTTATGGGCAACAATTTGACTTTTCTAAACCCTGAACTGATGAATTGCGCAGGAAGTATGTAATCAGTATTCAGTATGTGATGCTGTCTTCAAGACTTTATATCTATGCACAATCCAAAATCCAAAGAAACAGAGGCCATAGCTCAGGCAAAATGCTGGCAGCTGACGAATACTAAGTGCAGGAATATAGTTTCAACCAAGAATCATATTTGCATAATATACTTTTCGTACAAGTCATCAACTTGTACCTTAATAAACCTGTTTTCAGCATTCTCTAATTGCATCCCTGGACCCCTGGTCATAGAAAAATAACATTTATCCCTCCATAGGCTCCACTGATTAGCCTAATGAATATAGCCCTCTTGGAGGTTGATACCATACACAGAAAATTACAAAAGTTGCTGCAGATTGAAGACACACTGCTCAGTCAATGCATGTTTATATTTATTTCATTAATTAATAAATATGACAAATGGTATAAGAACACCAGCCAACAACAAAATCAGATAACATGGAAATGAAGAATAACAATGCACAGTCATAAAATGCATGAACTTCATCCTGAAAAATAAAAATGGAGATATAATCAAGATTTATTCCCAAGGTGCAAGAAGCTAAAAAATAAATTAAAAGCCATGATAATTGATCATTTCACTTTGGATTTGACAAAGTAAACAATATAATATTAACTAGGCTTTAACAGGGCTCACTATCAGAGGTTGGAATTAATTTACACTGTTTACAGCATCTTTTTTTTGTATTAGCACCCTCAGATCATGTTAATTAATGCTGGGTGGGATCAATAGAAGAGGGACTATAGTAGACTCACTGGGGGAATGGTTTACCTATTAGCATTGATGTTTGCTATCATGAAAACAACATAGACCAAACTCAAAAGATTGACACTGCCAGGAATATAATTTTTTCCCCACACAAGTTAAGAAAAAATGATAAAATTTGGGTATATAACATTGCATTGACTGTTTGTACCAAACGTTTTGATGGATTTATTGTCTCAGAGGCTTTGGTAACCAGTGTATACTATAGTCCAACTCGAAAGGCCAAAAACGAAATTGTTTATAGTAAAAAAGTTGAAAAACGGCTTACCTCAGTTACCTGGATGTTATAAAATAAGAGCAAAATGAGAAAATTCACCCTACCGATAAGTGAATTAAGCCATTCACAACGTCAGACGCAGAGCACGAAGCTATGTGTCCTTTCCATTTGTTGAACAGGGAAAAAGAGAAACACTTTTATCCATTTTATATGAAAAACAAAAAATATATACGGAAAGCTGAAAATATTTTCATAAAATCCAGGAGGGAGACGGACTCAATTTCTCACTTTGTATCGCGGTATGTCAGTGGTAACTACCATGAGCAAAAGGAACCAAGTGGCGTCAGCAAACGCCGAAATCCGCCATGTTTTTTGCTTCACTTTCTGGTCAAGAACCGGTCCTCCAGGAATTATTATATAGCTCAGTGGAGAACAGCTAATAGGATTGACTCGGGATTTCTCCGATTGACTTCGAAGGTGACGTAATGTAGAGTAAATTGGATCCCGCCTATCGACAAGAAAATTTCGACAATATATTTTCAAAAACTTTATTTTAAATGAACAAATTTCCGTATTTCCCAATACATTTTGAAGCTAAAAACTATGTCGGAATTTAGAAAATATATCCAAGTTCATTTATATTTATTAATTTTGCAGTATTTTGTGGTAGTTTTTCAGTTTTTATCGAAGTTTGACATGTATGTATGTGATATATTATTGATAATTGTTGATAAAGCATAGGCAGCCCAGACTTTGACTTGCGCGTGTGATACTCGCGCGCGTGTCGCGCTTACGTTGTTTACTTCGTCTATATATTATGACAAGGTAGGAAAGAGTTTATCAAAATATGACAGATATACCTTCGTAAATGTATAATTATCTAAAAAATTACTTGAAGAAACGCCACAAAAACTACAACCTAATAATTACCGATGATTAAAATACATTATCCTGCAGTTTCCATGTTTTTAAACAACATCTAAAGCCTTCAAATTAGCGAAATAAAACAGGAATTCATACGGAATTTTGAGAAAACTATCCGAGGGTCACTCCGCCTAAGGAAACGTCATCTTTTTTGAGATATTAACTAAACGCTCATTGGCTTACCTGCAGAACCACGAATGAGAACCAATGAGCGTTTAGTTAATATCTCAAAAAAGATGACGTTTCCTTAGGCGGAGTGACCCTCGGATAGTTTTCTCAAAATTCCGTATGAATTCCTGTTTTATTTCGCTAATTTGAAGGCTTTAGATGTTGTTTAAAAACATGGAAACTGCAGGATAATGTATTTTAATCATCGGTAATTATTAGGTTGTAGTTTTTGTGGCGTTTCTTCAAGTAATTTTTTAGATAATTATACATTTACGAAGGTATATCTGTCATATTTTGATAAACTCTTTCCTACCTTGTCATAATATATAGACGAAGTAAACAACGTAAGCGCGACACGCGCGCGAGTATCACACGCGCAAGTCAAAGTCTGGGCTGCCTATGGATAAAGTTGCCAACCTTAGGATAAATTAATATATGCTAATCACTGAGTAGCGTGTACGCGCGCGGACCACGAGTGTTGGGCTACCTATGATATTACTTGTGGCTTTTCCTACAAATACACATCTAACCCATCCTGCTATAAAATACTGATAGGATTCCAGGCTCTTATAAGCTTTTATTTGCTCTTTCGTATAGCGACTTGTTGAACACAAAAAGTATGTCACAATATCAGGGTATTCAATATTTGGCCACATTTCCATCGACTCAGTAAAGAAATTACTGCTGACATTATAAGGATCAATGTTGTTGATCAAATTTAATTTTTCTTGATATTTTTTTCGACTGTCATTGGTAAGAGTCTCAAGGTATTTTCTATCCAATGGTACACGCATGCTGCAGCCACCACTCGTCGACGCCGCCATGTTTGTTTACCTAACTAGTGCCTGCCTCCTGTCATGGCGGAAAAATCAAATTTGTTGCGATATCACGTGACCGTGCAAAGCCTCTATAGTCATATGTAACTATTCACAAGCAAACCAAATATATATGCTGTGAATGACTGAATGCAATTGAAAGGTTTTAAGGTATTGACCTCCAGAGAATTTTCAGGTTTCAAAGATCCCTTTGAATCCTTTTAGAAATTGTTTAGGAACCCTCAGCAAAAGATAGGGATATTGACTAAATACAGAACACCCCTCAATCCTGTAAGCTTGATTTCATTTTGTATATGGTGTGGAGAGACAATTTAATAGACAATTCATGTTTTGAGCCAATTTCTTCACTCATAGTTTAACTATCCTAAAATACACAATACCCAAAATATGTAAGATACAGATATATTTGTACACGTGTGATAAACGTATAGACAATACCCGCCGCATTTATTAATTGGGATGCGATGTTAGGCACGCTGTCTTCATATTGTGAAAAATTAAACGTGGCTAGTTATTGTAAATTTGGTTTTCATATTCCTAAAACATACGGGAAATTTATCTCCGGAGACCGTACCTGAGAAAGACCCGTGAAGACGAAGGTTCCGAAGAAATCTTGCTCACCGATTTGCTCGAGTTACGTGCTCGGGGTGAACGGGTGTAGCAAAATAGTCACAATTGTTGACTTTACAATCCATTCAAGATATCTGACATCCGCCATATTTGCCCCGTAACTCCACTATTATAAGACGATATGCTGTTATTTATAAACGAGAAAGTTTTTCTTTCAATGATATTATAATCATAATTAATTTGCTTCAGCAATCGATGAACATTTCTTCAGAAGCAACAAGCTGAACTGAACGAACTTTACGCCAGGGCCACAGAGACGATTTGGATTTGGTCACCATATCGGGTGATTACTTTCTGACTATACAATTACTAATTATTGGTTTCCGTGTGTTTGGATGCCCTTATCCGAACACGCGTGAATGTTGCGAGAGTTTAGAAAAGCGCGCGAAACACGAGCCGAAGGCGAGTGTTTTGCGAGCTTTTCTTAACTCGAGAGTAAAATGTCGAGAGTCGATTTCGCGCACAAAATGATGTTTTTATTTATGTATTAAGTTTACTTTTACTTATATTCACTGCACGTTACCTATGCCAAGAGACTATGGTAACACTGTTTTTTTTTTTATCAATTGACGCTTTATATATGTTTCCACTTCCGACAGAAACGATGAAAGGACGATTTCGATTCGTGCGATTAACACCTTCGTCCACCTTACTTACCCGATTGGATGGTTAGGTGTTAGCTCTTCGCTCGCGGGAGGCATGTTTTGGAACGAGTGCTGTTACTTGGAGCCAGGTTGAGATCCCTACGGTATCTTAAGCTGAGCGCACACCCCCTCCCCCCGCCGAGAGCTAACCCTTCAAAACAACTTTGTTGGTGGAAAAGCCAGGCAAATGAAGGGAGTAAACAAAAGGAGAAAAGGAAGAAATTTACTAATAGCACTTTACCATAAGCTGCTGTTGTCGACGTTATCGCTCGTTCGCCGACGGGTTGTTAATGCCCTCTGCAGGCTCTGCTCCGCACCTTGCCTCCACTCGCCTCTCCCATTCGGTCACGTGGTTTGTCTGACGTCACGGTTTCCTCGTTGTTAACCTTGGTTATTGCATAACCCCATAAATTTCGTGCCGCCCATTTCATCCTTTACCTCTTACCATTGCAGTGATTACACTCATAAACATTCATTATTTGTATACTGTCATATATCTCATGTCTTTCAACAGAATTATAAATCCGGTAATGTATAAAAAAATTAATATTTTGCATATTTTTTACCAAATCAGAGTCAGGCTAGGTAATTGTCGAGAGTCGAGAGTAAAATGTCGAGAGTCGAGAGTAAAATCTCGAGAGTCGAGAGTAAAATGTCGAGAGTCGATTTCGCGCACAAAATGATGTTTTTATTTATGTATTAAGTTTACTTTTACTTATATTTCACGACAGAACTCGACGCACACCTTGCGCTTTTTGTCTCGTTTATCAAACGATCGATTCTGTTGAAGATAATAGAATCATATTTCTGAGCGTTTTAGCCTATCTAACACACACGCATGTAGACCTCTACGAAATAAAATGCCTGCCTGCTTTGCAAAATATGTTCGCAACTGAGTGCTTGAATACGCCACAGACAGCGATGTTTGTAAGTGTTATACTTGGCCTCCTTTATCCGATCCTTCAGTCGTGCTGTGGTCGCTCTGCAAAATATAAAAAGAGCGAGTTTATTCAATATATTCGGTCATTTGCATTCGCATTTCGAGGAAAATTTCCACATGAATATATTTTTACCCCATCAGAATACAGGGGGTTTTCCGCTGCATGCATGCATTTGTGACCTCCTACGCATTTCTCCAGTTTAGAATTTGACGTATCGACTCAATACATAATACTGTATATACACTCCAAGACCAAGACGATCAAACGCCGACAACAGAACATCACTCGTTCTTAGTCACGTAATTAGCAGACGATGGAAAACACACAGGAATATAGCAAAAGGTAAACACTTCGTATAGCGTTCGAATTCTGTCAGTCCGAAGAATACTGTGTAATATGTGGGATATAGGAGGCGAGTATATATATATATATATATATATATATATATATATATATATATATATATATATATATATATATATATATATATATATATATATATATATATATATAGGTTGCCGTCAGTGATAAGTCTGCCTTGCCCTTGGGTGCAGCAAGTGTCGTGTGTATGTACGAAAAGCACAATGAAACCAGCCCACCCAGCAGAACATTTAACAATGATTCTCTTATGACAGACTATTTCAATTAAGACTGCAAAAATAAGTGAGACAGCATTATATAAAGCGGGTACTCGTGTAGTCAAGAACTTACTTTAATACTATTGGCAAAATGCGTTTTGGATTTCGTTGCTTATACCATCGTCGTCTTTCTGACGATCTTCCAGGCAACCCAAACTCATTTTGAAAAATCAGGTATAATGGATAGTACGCGTGTAGTTATATACCATCATCACGCGTGTAGTTATAATCCATCGAGGAATTTATGCCTTTGTGGTGGGCTCGTCATGCATAAAATGAGCGTAAAACAAACTTTAAATCACGTCATATAGTTATGTTCAGAAAAGCACAACTCTGATTGGCCAATAGAACTGGCCTCTGTAAAATCTAAACTCATTTTAATTGCGTCGCGTATATTACGTCGAATGTAAAAGTAAAAGCAACCAATTAAAAGTCACTTCAAGCAACTGCATGCAGTCAATAATATATAATAATAATCGGCATATAGAGAGTATAGCGAAATGGCCCTTGCCGTATCCGTAGTGTTACTGAACTATTAGAATCAATATTCTCACTGGGCGCTTCGCTAAACAATACCATATTAATGCGTTAAAACTTAATGCAAATATAAAGCAGCATCAGAGTAATCGCATGAATAAACACGGTTGGTATAAAAGACCGGGAAAACAGCAAATTTTCACATTTTGCCACGAAGACGACCTGGCTGCATATACAGGAGGGAATTTTTTTGCTGTTGGAGTGTCGCAGCCTAACTATAAGTTGGATATGGACGACCCAGCCGTTCAACCTCTGGCAGTGGATATTGATGCGGTTTTAGCAGAACACCAACCACCTCAGCAAGCCGTACAGTTAAACGATAATGCAGTCGAGATCAATAACTCCGTAAATCCGCCAGTACAGCCTCAAGAGCCGCGTATACCTCCAGTGCAGGTTTCTCTTCGTATTATTTTTACTCGGCAGGGTTAGTCCCTTAGCTTCGTTGTAAGGGACAGGGTTTTTTAAGCTCCTCCTTCAAAAGCGTACGGGATTTGTCCACATGTCTCGTTTTCCTTCTGGTAGTGCAATTCCTATCAGTTTGCTTTCTGTTCATCGGGAGACTTAGTACGCCTTACATTCTGTCTACGACGGGATACCCATGTTCGGAGGCTGAGTCGGATGTCGTGCTTCTCACCGGGGCGACGTTTCGTGTGTATATAACCCTTTCCATACTTGCTTGTTGCTAGATTAGGTAACGGGTTGAGGGTGGGAGCTTTGTATCCTATAATTATTATAGTTGTTCCTTGGTATACTAATACCACTGTTATATCTCCCCCGCGTTTTGAAAGAAATATAGGAAATTTTTTGCCTTTGGTCTAGTACAGGGTATACATTCTTTACGCCTTTGTTGAGGCGGCATCAAATTCCTTTTGATTTGAATTAAGGGTTTAGATTTATGATACCTTTGTTAAACAATTTACCACTTCGGTTTAATTACGCCTTTGTTGAGATGGCCAAGATTACCTACACTTGCGTTTAAGCGATATAAATTTATAGGCCTTTTGTTGCATTTGGTTAAAATACATAAATAAAATGTTTACGCATACATTTTGTCCAAGCGGCATAAGTACCTCTACGCTTTTGGTGAAGCGGTATAGATTTACTTTTTTTTTCTTGAACTAAATCTAGATTTATTTACGCTTTTGTTGAAGCGACATACGCCTCCCAGTCTACGCTTTTGGTGAAGCGGCTACGAGATTTACGCTGTTTTATTGAACTGACCTAGATTGGTTTACGCTTTTGTCGAAGCGATATAAGATTACCCAGTCGACGCTTTATAGGTGAAGCGATATATAGGTTTATAATTAAGATGCTTTATTGAACTGGTTTAAATCTACTTCCGCTTTTGGTGAAGCAACCTCTGAACGCTTTTGGTGAAGCAGTAGGGATTTACGATGCTGAATTGAACCAGTTTAGATTCATGCCTTTGTGGAAACCATATAACTTACTTCTACGCACTTTTGGGGCAGCTGTGTATAATTTATGATGCGTTTGCTGTACCAATCTAGATTCATTTACGGCTTTTCATTTGTTGGTGTGCGAGTATAGGTTACCAGTCCATACGCTTTTGGAGAAGAGGTGTGAATTTAAGTTTTTGT